ATGACAGTCCAAGGTACTGAGTTGCTGCTGTCCACTTCCTATCATCCTCAAACTGATGGACAAACAGAGGTGGTTAATAGGTGTTTGGAGGCCTACTTAAGGTGTATGTGCAGTGAACACCCAAAGGAGTGGAGTAGCTGGCTACCTTTGGCTGAATGGTGGTACAATACCTCCTTTCACTCATCCATTCAGATGACACCCTATGAAGTGGTATATAGTCAACCGCCCCCCATCCATCTTCCATATCTTCCCGGTGAAACAAAAGTGGAGGCTGTGGATAGGTCCTTACAAAGAAGGGAATCCATGATACAGATGCTGAAATTTCAACTGTTAAGAGCTCAAAATAGGATGAAGGTGCAGGCTGACAAGCACAGATCTGAGAGGCACTTTGAAGTGGGGGATTGGGTATGGCTTAAGCTACAACCATATAGACAACAGACAGTGCAAGCAAGGTCTAACCAAAAATTAGCTCCCAAATTTTATGGTCCATTTCAAATACTGACCAAGGTGGGTTCAGTAACATACAGGCTACAACTGCCCCCATCAGCTCAAGTCCACCACACTTACCATGTATCTCAACTCTAAGCATTTAAGGGAGTCCTGCCAAAACAACCACATATACCAGGATGGCTACAGGGAAGAAATGTTGGAGAAGTTCTTAAACCTGCAGCAATTTTAGAAAGAAGGATGATCAAGCAAGGTGGCAGAGCTGTTGTCCAATACCTAGTGCAATGGGAAGGGCAGAATGTAGAGGATGCATCCTGGAGGGATTCCAAGGACATGGAGCGGAGGTTTCCTGAATTTTTCTGTTAATTGTGCAGTGTAATGTCAATTTGGTTGTAAATAATTGAATAAAGGCCCTTCTCTTTAAGGGGGAAGGAATGATACAGGCGTTGCCTTGCCACGTGTGTGTGGTGGTTAGATACGGTTAGATGGCGGTTGAGTTTGTTAGACGGTTAGCTAAGCTCGGGGGGCTCAGGGCCTTTATATACTTGTATTCAAGCTGTGGTTGGAATAAGAAGACATTTAATCTCATTTCACATAACTTCTCTCTCTCTCTTCTCTCACATTTTGATCGGGACTTCAATCCCTGGTCTTTAACGTTCATCCTCGAGGATTCTTCTCCATCTCTGAATCCTCCTGCATTGGACTTTATCATTTAATTGAAAATTATTTCAATGAAACATACTCCGTAAAAGAAAATACTCCCATTTGGATTTAATATTTTTGTTTCTCGCATATGTGTGTGTTAAGACAAAAATACTCCACCTACTTGAAAAACACTCCACTTTTTTAGTAAAAGCATTTTAGACGAATTCACCTCATAGTCAAATTTTCTTTAAAAAAAGAAAAAATCATAATGAAAATCAATAATATGTTGCTTTCATTGAGATTTGAACTCAAGACCTCCCGCTTACTAAACGGGTGCTCTAACCAACTGAGCTATGAAAGCTAGCTGTTGCAACATTTCAACATTATTTTCCTGGTCTCAAATATGTTGTACTACCTTTGTCCCGAATATTTATCTAGTTTTGACTTTTTATAAACAACCATGTTGAACTTTTGACCTATAATTAAATAAATATTGTATGGTAATTAATTAGATAATTTTGAAAGTATTTTATAAAATAAATCTAATAGAAAAATTCTTTTGTCAATGTTTAGTTTTAATTTTATTTAATTAATTGTCAGAGTTTATCAATTTCGATTATAAAAAGTTAAAACTGGTCAAAGAGTCAACGACAGATATAGTATCATGAGCTCTTAGGTACTAAATTGGTGGTCTAATGAGCTAGGAAAAATAAGTTCCACTTTGTCATATTTTAGGTTATTTAATTATACTTTCTCCGTCTCAAATCAAAGATTTTATTTTTTCACTCGACATTTAAAAAAAACAATGAAATTGTGTTGTCTAAATTTATACAAAAAAGGAGAAATTATATAATCATTCAATGTTTTCCAAAATATTACTCTTTAAAACATGACTAGAGCGATGTGCTCTAACACTAATCTTTATAACTCGGGAAGTAGAAGTTTGCTTTGAATGTGAGCTTGATAAACTTATCTCTTTTAGTCTTTGTATGTTCAGTTCTTCATGTTCGACACTTTCTTCTTATTCATTCACTGTTCTCCTTCTTCTTCCTTCACTACATAGGCTAGTGTGATGACGAATAGCTCAAAATCTAAATGTTGGCTGGCCACTATATGTGATGGATGCGAATTGAGACTTGTGTCATTTTAGAACTTTTTCAAAGGATTTTCTCTAGTTCATAAAGGGATGGGCATGATAAGCTTTATTAAGTAGTCATTTTGTTGTCGCTAAGCTAATAGTGGGTGTCAAGGAATCAACTCAACCAAAAGCTCAAACTTGTAATTGTGGCTAAAAAATGAATTTTACATACTCTAACACGCCCCCTCATGTGTATGCATGACTTCTTTGAGCTTTGCACATAAAGACTTTTTTTTTTTTTGAAAGTTGAAGTCTATGAACTTGAACACTTCAGATTCAATTCAGAACTTCTAGTTCATTTTGACCTTTCAACTATTTGTTCACAGCTTTTGCACTACAATTATTTCTTAAGAAATTCTAGAGCTTATTTATGATTCTTTGGTTGCAGTCAGAGTCTGCGAAATATGAAATTTCCATCTTTTACAGTTTGCATTAGTTCTTTTCCCATTTTGAAATAGACGTACTTTTACTTGTTTATGTTAGCTTAGAAAGTGCTTTTGTATCCATGTCTCTTTGTTCGACTCTTCTAGACAAGTATTGGATTTCATGTCCAATAAGTTAAACTTTCATCTTCCGTATTGAAGTGGTCTTACTATACCATTTACATTTTCTTAAGATGATTTCTTGTGATAAAAAATTATTTTTTCTAATTAAGGTTCATGAAACTCTTACTCAAACCCCAAAGGTTGAACTGTAGATCAACCTTTAAAATGTATACAAGTCATTCAAAGCTAAAGAATTAATTGAGACCTTGTTGGCAAAAGGCCAATAATTATTTTACAACCATCTAGTTATATACATGCATCTCTATCGATGTAATTGTACTGAGTAATAATTTGTTCTAGTTGTATTGATGGTTACAAATATTACAATCTTGAGATATAGTTAAGCATGGCCTATATCCAACAGAAATGAAGTTTCGTAATACTTCGTTACAAAGTGAGTTAAGAATTAAAATAGGCCTCCTTGCTTGTAGTGTTCGTGATACACATACATTGATACATATATCATCCATCTTCGCATTGCAAAATTTTTTTGATTCTTTGCAAGGTACATGAGACGAGGGTGTTGACAGATTCCACAGTCTCCATGGAAAGCTTTGAAGTCGGGGAGTTGTTCGTTAAGATTTGAAATGCAATTGTCAGCAAGGACCCTTCTTCGGCATTCTTTTTGTCTTGTTTAGAAGTGATGACAAATGCCCTTGATTCCATGCCATCAGGAAGAATTGAGAAACCAGAAGCTAAGACTGCGGTGTTACTCGAGTCACAACCTGTCATTACAGACTGCATACTGGAAATGTCTATTGGAGCAAAGACGATGATCGATTCACACACATTCGTGCATGTATCTTGGAGGATCCACATGTTGTTTTCTTTTGATTTTGTAGCCTGACCATAATAAATTTGATGTTGACCATAAAATTTGGGATGAACCTTCAAGTCTCATTAATTATAACAAGTAACAAGGGAAATATAAATAACTTACGAGAACAGTGACTGCATTTCCGCGATGCTGCCCCTTGGCAAGGTTTGCAATCGATTCCATTGGTCCTCTATTTGAAATGATATCCCACTTTAAGGAACATGAAAAGAGTTGAAACATCATCAACATATGCACTTCAACCCTGCTCAGGTGATAGTTTCTCTCAAATATATTTCACAAATATGCATAAGTACCAACCTCATGTCTACGAGTCTCATCTCTAAGGAACTCAAATAAAGGATGGTGAGAGACAGGCAACCAGATAGATGAAGCCGCACACAAGATGACACCGAGTGGTTCCCCAGGATCACTTATGTTCTTTCTTGAAGACACCCTGATGTCATCTCCGCTTTTGGTAGGGATTCTATTCCATGTGTTGTAGCTTGAAGCTCCAAGTGCTCGGCAAAATGACGAAGTCATCCTCTGGGCCAACGTGAGTATGCTTCTTCTCCCTGCAAGTGTGGAAACACCTGCATGCATTTCCCAACCATATCTCATTCACTATTCATAGGATTAAATGATACGGAGTATCTTTTATCATTGCATATTTGTGTTAATCATGTATTAGTTAAAATAATATAGTCATATAACTTCTTATTTTATAAAGTTTTTGATGTACCATTTAAATATATCAATTTTACTTTATTTATAATGTACCAAAAATCAAATAAATTATATTGAATTACTTTCAATCAAATATCATTAAGTAAACTAGTGCCAAAAGTTTGAGATGGAGGAAGTAGTTATATACGACTCTTTCTTTAGTGTAATGATATGATATGCATGAGAACAAACATAATATCTAGAATGAAATTAAATGTTTGCTCATAATTACCAGATGAATCTTTAGTGGGAACATTTGTCGCCATGAAGAATGCAAGACGCTCACATTGTTGCTCCATTGTTGCCATCCAATGTTGGGCGCCAAAGGCAGAACAACTGTTTAAAATGGTGTGAAATAGAGAGTGAGGTGGGCTCTGTTGAACTTCTATGTGCTCCACCCAAGTCACCTGAAAAAATGAAGAAAATGGAAATTCAAAACCACCATAATGTTTGAATACATTTTATGGGTTGTTGTTGCACTTTTATATGTATACAATCATAAACGAGACTTTAGCCAAATGGTGTTAAAACACAACTATGTTTTTCCATAAAAAGCTTCAAAGTTACTATTCAAACATTAAATTTTTTTCACTTTCTTTAGCTACTTTTGTTAAATACTACCTCCGTCCCAAAAAGATTTACACGTTTTGACTAAAGTTGAAATTAAGAGAGAGATAATTTTGTGTTGACTTTCCAAAAATACCCTTGATGTGATGGGTAAAAGTAGGATGTGATGTGTAGATTATTAGGAAAAAGGTATGATGTGATAGGTAGGGTTTGAAAAAGTAAGGGGTAAAAGTGGTTTTTTAATAGAAATGGGTAGGAGATTGTGGGACGCAATTTTTTTGAAAGGTGTAAATCTTTTTGGGACGGAGGGAGTATTTGATAAAATAAAATACCAATTTCGCCTAATTTTACGTAAAATAGAAAATAAATTGAATTGAAAATAACTTTATTCAAACAACATAAATCGCATCCTATTTGTTTTAGATTGGGAGAGTATCTACTTAATTCATCAATTGCTTCTTTTTGCAAAGTAATTCTAGTGTAACAAAATGTTCTTTTGATACTTATATAATTTACTATAACCCAAAATTACAACTCAGTATAGTCGAACTGAATTGTCGCCATAGCCCCTTCACACCATGCCATCGCTTCCTATCACAAATTGCTTCCATCACTGTCTGCTACCTTCTCAACTTACCTCTTACTACACCATCCGTCTGTTAATGTCCATCACAATTTTAATAACCTCCACGATTTCCCTACCTTGTACGATTTTAATGTCCATCGAGTGTCTAAGAATATACACTGCAATGCCCACATTAATGTTCATTGATCTAACTCCGAATGAACAATGTCCACAATGTAAATGTTCTTGCATCATACGTGAAGAAAAAGAAAAATGTCCATTATATTTTATATTCTTTAGTTGTGAAGAAAAAGAACAATACTCGCAGTATTCAATATCATTACATACGTCAAGAAAAAATAAAAAATCTTGAGCCGCCCAAAATCTAAAATTCTAGCATCGACACCACCTCTATGATTCAGGACATAGAGAAAGGGGTTGTGGAAACCCGACTGATATCCCACGAAAAGGAGTGAAGGAGGTATGACATTGCTTGAGGGCAAGTCAGAGTTTTTGGTCGGTTGAATCAGATGTTTGATTTAATAGAGAGTAATATTGAAATAAAACTTGTTATAATTTCATTAACCTAGAAACAACTATACATGGTAGATGGTATCAAATGAATAACAAACAAAATACATAAAAGGAAAGTTTCCAAACATAAATAAAATGGTTAGCTACCAAATATAAAATGTAACCTTTAAGAGAGAGAGAGAGATAGAGAGAGAGACGAAGATGTGAGTAGATGTTAATGGAAGAGAGATATTATGTCCACTATTTCGTTGTATGTATTTCCATGGACTATTTAAATTGTCTGCAACGTTAGAGGATGCCTTTCCCACATGCAGGCCTAGTCAGCTTGACACATCGGTTTTCCTTTTATCTTTCTCACAAACACTTTTTACCTTCAACACGTACTACCATACCCATTCTTTCAAGATGCATCCTAATTTTTTCTCACTTTTATGTAATAAATATTTTTTTAAAAAATAAATAATAAAATAAACAAAAATAAATTATAAATAAAACAAATAAATACTTGTATGAATTAAAATGAAAAAATATAATTTGGTCCCCAACGGGTTTACCCATGAGGACGGATGCCATGAAGATGGACCAAGAAAGAATGCTTTGAATAACGTCCATGCCTGGCAAATGAGGGCTAGCTCAGCTACGGGGAATGTTATAGCGTTGGAGACCGTCTTAGGAATGGACATATATATGCTTAATGCAAAAAATTGATAATTAAGTGAACAATTAGTTAAAGAGTGCGGGTGAAATGAGAATAGCAGCTAGCAAACCTTGCAATGACCATTAGACATATCATGAAGAATGCATCCGGAGGGACGCTTTCTGCATTTAATAAGGGAGGCATCAATATCGTCTTCGACTCCCTCCATCGAGATGTCCACAATTGCCCACTCATCTGTGCTTAACTGCTTGCACTGCCTCACAAAATACACTTCTCGTGTCGCCACCAATGGGGTCAGCATCTGTAGCTCTGCAAACATCTGCATCGATGATCAATGCATGCACCCCCACTGATCGAATTCAACAATTCATGTTTATTACAAAATAAGAAAATAGATCAGATATTCCTAAATTTAGCTCATTTTTATTACTCTCTCCATCCGCCATAGATCTTCTTAAGTTGACTTTTTTGATTTTTAAGGATAGTTGAAAAAGGTGGACGTTTAGTAAAATACCATTAATGAAATTGGGTGGAGTATATTAAACGTTGTGGTTGAGGTGTATTAAATAAAATAATGAGGTAGTTGTTCTATTTTAAATGTTAAAAAAGGTAATGAAAAGATCTTTTGCAGATAAACAAAGTGCATTTGAAAAGATCTTGGTGGATGAGGGATTGCAAGCATTTACTTTATTTAATTTTGTATCATTATATTAGCATTAGTTCTATTTCTAGTGATAATAAAATTCAAATCTAGGGTTGGTTTTAGCTGTTGGTAATGTTTAATGATAATAATTACAACAATAACAATACTCCCGATGTCTCAAAAAGATTTACACTCTTCACTATTCAAAAGTTATAAAAACTTTTGTTTATTTGTGTACTTTGATTGATTATTTGAAAAAATAAAATTTTTTTGTCACCTCTTGTTTTGTAAAACTTTTGACGTAGTTTTTATTTTTAATGTCAATACCAATGTTTAAATAAAATAAATTTTAAAAAGTTGAAATTTTACTTCGTTTTACGTATAGTGTAAAATATTTTAGGATGGAGGGAGTAATAATAATAATATAATAATAATCATCATAAAAATCTATCTCTCTCACTGTGTTTATCATATCATTATTCAAATAGTCAAATTAAATCTTATTTTTTACGATGTATGCCAAGTACATAGTTATAATATCTAAAATTAGTGTAATTTTAAGAGCATATTGATTGCTATTTGTTTATGTTTTTGATCTTATAATGGTGGTTATATAACTACCTTTCTATAAACTATTGTCATAGATTGTATTTTGGGTTTGGTATTTATGTGATGAGTATGTTTAGCGATATGAGCTATGATGTGGTCTATAATTCCATTTTCACGTTGGGGCGTAGACCACATCTAAAACCCACTCGTGTGTACCGCTGGGGTGCACTGGGTGATCCTAGAGGTAGACTACTTCATCATGTGGGTATAGTAGAAGCCATTCACCTAGAAGGAATCACCAAAACCCAAAGTTTATGGGAAACCATTCCATTCGTCACTATGGTATACTAGAGCATATTATTGTAGATGGCATTTTGATACTCAAGTCTTTTGTGACTTATGCATAAGTAGTATGATCAAACATAGAATGACATATGTTACTTAACCTCAAGGTAATACACAAGTATAAAATGTAATTCATACCATCATCAATGGATTTAAGAAGAAACTCTCCACCACAGAGTGAGGGGGCTGATTACCCGCCACACATCTTATGGGCTTATCGAATGACACCGCGAAGGCCATTGAACACTTTTTGAGCTTACTTATGAATTTGAAACAAGGGATCTATTAAGGAAAAGAAAAAAAGTGAACATTTAGGGGCAAGTTTTCAAAGTCCTAGGAGGATCCCTACATTGTCCAAGTCATATTTCACCGGGGGACCTACAAGCTTGAAACTCTAAAAGAAAAGACATAGAAAGTACATGGAAATTGGAGCATCATATACATTTTAATTAGTAAGCTAAGGGGCATTAAACCTAGGACAGGGGCGACCTTGTCCCAAAGGACGTTGACTTCAATATTGTGAATAAAAATTTTCCCTTAAAAAATAAGAATTATTTGCACAAGAGAAGGGGGACCAAACACTATAAATCAGGGCCCTCTTAGGGATGATACCAGGGTATTGGCCACCCTTGGGAGACTATGTAGTTTTAGCAAGGGGCAATATTGTCTCGTGCCCTAGCTTTAAAATGTGAGGAAGGAAGGGATCTTAATCGAGCTAGGAAAGGTAGCCCTAAAAAACTTTGGCTACCAAGCCTCACGCTAGCAGGTGTGTCAGAGAATTAAGGCAAGCTTTGTACACACTCGAAGAGTTGGGAGTTTTTTTTTAAGTCCTTGTAAGTCTCTAGAAAACCATCATTGAGTGTAGAACACCCTCTAAGGAAAAGAAACTCTTCACGGTGTCGTTTTCTAAGAGCTTGTTCTCTTCAAGGATTATTAGAATCAAACTAGATCAAAAACATCTTAATAAATAACTACAATCAGATAAAATTAAAACTTAACCAAATCAGATGAGTATTAATCAGAGAACAAGTCCTATGTGTATTTGGCTAGCGTTTTTAGGACTACGAGGGCCTGAGTAGGACTATCAAGGTTTGTGCACCAAGGTTGCTCGATTCGCTTCTTAGTGGGACAACCATTTAAATAGATGCAAAGAAGTTCATATGGAATATAAGATTTTGTTAAGTCATTAGAGTAGATAATATTAGATTTATGATTGTTTTTTGTACAAAAAGCAAAAAATATTTTGTAAGTAATTAAACTATCCAACCATGAGTAGCGAATTGCTAGCTTGGTGTGCGGTAATTTAAACAAATGCAAGAGGTCAAATTGAGGTGGATCATCGAAGAAACGCAAATAGATTATTCAGCATGAGAAGTTGATGAACCTATTGTTTTCATATTGGAGGTTGATAAATTAATGATTTGCCAATAGAAATTCTTTCAATGATGAGAATATGGGAGATGATTGAGGTTGTGAATACTTCAATTATAATATTGTACTCAACACATTTTCGTTAGGGTGTGGCTATATCTGTTAGAGTTCTCACATTAGAAAAACAGAGAAATATTACTTGCATATATAGAAGGGTGAAGCCCTACCTATTAGCTTAAACTTTTGGATTAGAGTGTGAATTCTGACTTTATACGCAAGTGGTTAGTTTTACTCGACAATCTGCCCGTTATGGTTAAATCTACTCCATTTATATTTAAAGGGGAATTAACCTATATAGTACTAAAACACAGTGAGTTTCCAAATCTAATACCATATGCTTTAATTTCTCAATGTAGTATCATTACTCAATGTCCAGTAGACATTGTTTAAGTAAATGTCTAATGCCACTGGACATTGTTCAAAGTGCTATTTTCCTACCACTGGACATTATTCAAGTGCTATTTAGGAAATGAAAAGTTTTAGATGCTACGTTGGGAAAAGACATATATTTTATTACTATTTAGTGCAAATTTCACATATTTAAATAGATAAACTCATCCTTAAAAGTTGGTTAAAATCTAATATCTCTCTTATGTATTTTAAGGGAAAATTTGTCCATTTAACTATAAATAGGATTGATATAGCAACATCACTTTTGGTATTGTAATGTCTTGAGGTGTTTAGGTGTATTGGATTTTTGTTTATGAGTGTCAAGGAACCAATTCAACCAAAAGCTCAAGCTTGTGGTTGTGGCCCAAGAAATGTTTCTTATATTCTAACACGCCCCCTCACGTGTAGGCATAGTCTTTTTCGAGCCTTGCACGTGAAACCTTAATTTTTTTTTAAACTGGGTGGCGCTGAGTTTCAAACCCATGACCTCTTAGTCAACGAGGCTCTGATACCATGTCAAGGAACCAATTCAACCAAAAGCTCAAGCTTGTGGTTGTGGCCCAAGAAATGTTTCTTATATTCTAACAATGAGAATCCGGATTACAATTGTTTTAACTGATACACTTATGATTAGAGGTGACATTCAACTCAAATTTGACTTTTACCGACTCGGTCGAATAGTAAAATATCTGAATCCGAACCGAGGCCCATAGGTTTGGAGACCTCAATATTAGGGGTGGGAAAGAATTCCAAAACCGTTGTCCCGGCCCGAAATATTCTGGTCACATCTCTGTAATGTTCCATTTTGTTAGGGATAAATTTTTTTATCCCAAACCCATTCCGAATCGTTTTAAAATGGGACAGGACCAGGACACCTAAATATTTTCCCGTCCCGTTGACCCATATATATATATATATATATATATATATATATATATATATATATATATGAGATGACACAAAGCTCACCACATTACACTGCAAAGCTCACCAATGGCCAATGTAAAGCTCACCTGGATATAAAGCAAAGCTCACCACTTTGAACATCAAAACTCACCTTTTTTTAAATTTTGAAAATTAAAAAATTAATAAAAAATAAAATAACAACACTGGTCAACCACCGGTCAGCGGTGGCGGCGCGGCGGAGACCGGAGGCGGCCGGCGGCCGGCGGCGGTGGTCGGCGGACTCTATATATACATATATATATATATATATATATATATATATATTTATATTTATATTTCTAATTATGTAATTGTATCTTAGTTCTTATTTCCTTGTATGTACTCGGGCCCAAAACTAAAGCCCAACAATCTTGTATTTATACTTCGTAAATATTCAATGGAAAGCAATTCAGTTTTCTCAAATTCTACATGGTATCAGAGCCTAATCCTGGGAAACTTCTCAAACCCTAGGCTCGTCTTCTTCACGGTGCCGCCACCGTAGTTACGCTGACCGCCTCACGACGGTCGTCTTTGCCGCCGGCTCACGTCGGACAACTCATCGCCGGCTCACGTCGACGATCCTCTCACGCCGCCTCACGTCGGCTTCTGTATTGCTTCTGCCACCATGACAGCCGAAACTCCTAAAAAGGTACGGCTTATTCACGATCCCACATCACCCTACTACATCCATCCGTCCGAGAGTGCGGGTAATTCTTTGACAAAGCATCTTCTAAAGGGGGACAATTATGATGTTTGGGAGAAAACGATTGTCAACGCCCTTGAAGGACGCAGCCGCGCCGGTTTCCTATACCCTTTGGGGTTTCCCAAGCCCAGCGATGAACAGGAACTTGCATCTTGGAAAGCCAACAATCTATTATTTGTTCTTGGATTTGTAATAGTGTTGATGAAAATATTCAACCTTCTATTATTTCTCACAAAGTGGCGCATGAATTGTGGTTGGACTTGAAGACTCGGTATGGGGGATCTAACGGTCCTCGTGTTCATCAATTAAAATC